CTTGGTGGGGTTGCCTCCCCACAAGCGCTTCTTTTATGTCTTGGCTAGACGGTGGTTCCGAAGTTTCGGTCCATCCCAGAACCTCCTTGAAGTTGATGTTCTCGTCGATGATGTGGAGTCTCAAGTCACAAGTAGGTGATGTGATAGGTGATGAAGATGGCTCGTGGCCTTGAGGAAGATGAAGTCTCCACTCACGAGACCTCTCATTCGCGTATGCTCTTGTCTCACTGCCCCGAATCAGATAAGATATATTCGATTGACCACCTTCGCATCCACCAAGAGGGATTGATGTTGATGTGGTCTTGGTCTGGCAAAGAGACACTGCAAATGGGTCCTTGCCAAGCAGCTCCTCGAAGTTTGGTGGAGATATCAAATGTAACATAGGGTCTGTGCAAGCCTCTTCCACCTCAACTTCATCCTCAGCCTGGACGCCAATTGCTTCCTCAACCCCCCTTCCTTCTTCAAAATGTGGTCTCTCCCCTTGGAAAAGATCAAGAACTACCTCTTCTTTGCTTTCTTCCTCATCCTCCACAACTTCCTTCCTCATCCTTGCTCGCTCTTCTTCTTCTTCTAGAACAGATTGGAGAGCAAGTCGCCAAGCAATTTCTTCAATGGGATCATCTTGCATCTCCTCGCACGGGCCCATCGTGTTAGAGCATAAATGAGGAAAGGTGTGATCTGCAACCAAAGGACTTTCCTGATCATGATTATCATGCGAGTTCTCTGTGATAACTTCTGTATGCTCCTCAACGCCCCCGTAGCCTTTGTCATCCTCCACCTCTTCTAGCGTGGTAGCAGAAAGGTGATCTTGAGCAGGATGTGAGCAAACTTTCTCCACCCACTCTGTTTGCTTTGCTGAGCACTGAACAGTCTCCTCCATTTCATGGAGAAATGAGGGATCGGAAGAGGCAAGGGCTTGGATTTGAAGATCCATCTTGGAGCATGCTATCTCAGTGTCTCGAGCAAACTGCTCCACGAGAAGCCTTAATTCTTTGTTCGGATCTTCTAGTGAAGTGTAGCATGGCTTTGCAGAGTGACCCGTGAAGGCCTCCATGGCTAACTCCAACTCAGATGGCCCCTCTGGTTGTGGCAGGAACTCTTCTTGAAAAGGATATTGTTCTTGAGGTTCCCAAGGGTTTGGTTGTTCTCCGTAGTAGGGGGGTTGGTACTGACATCCGAATCCATAGTCTTCTCCTCCTTGATTGCTCCAGGAAGTCTCGGGGTAATACCACACGGATGGTGGTTGATACCCCCAATGGTTGGAGAAGCCATGAGGATCCATGTTTCAGAGCTGCACCAACAAAAACATAACACCCAAGTGAAAAGCAAGGGTGGAAAAGAAAAGAAAAAAGCTAAAGTAACAGACTTTCACGTTTCCCCAATAACCTAGAGGATCCCCGGCAACGGCGCCAAAAACTTGACACGGTAAAACACAACACCAAACTGCGACCAAGTATAATCGCAGTCCGGGAATGCAGTAAAGTAGCAAGTTCTAATGTCAACCCGGGGTCTAGATCTACTGCCTACTCCGTGATTATCTATTATCTAGCAAACTAAGTCGAGTGATTGTTGTTTTAACTAAAAGCAGTAAGAAAGCAGGAAATGGTTCGGTTTTCTGAAGTCAAGGAAGAGTCACTCGGGAATGAGTCCCCCTAGCTCCTTAGTTAGGTCTCAATTGTAATTACCCTGGGTTGATTTACTGTTGATTAAACTGCGGAAGATCCGACAGTAGCTTGGAATCTCTTAAGATGACCAAGCCTTCTCAGTCCAACTACCCGGCAGGCGACTAACCTTCACCGGTATAGAAAGCTGAGGCTATGAACACAGAACTCCACCACTGGAATTGGATTCCAGTACAAAGCAGTAGATTGGCTAACTCTCGTATAACCAATCCACTACTACCGAATGATGTAGCTCTAACAACCTAATCAGATTCTATCTATCTCAGGTTGGAGCAGAAATCAAGAATAGCTGATCAGACTTCAATCAATTCAATGAATCATGCATCATTCGATTATAATCAAGCAGTATAACAATCCCAAGTCATTACAATCAAAATCCCTAACACATGGAACTAGGGTTCTTCATACCCAAGTGAGAGAAAGTTCTACTCCATAGAGAGAGAGTGGAAAACAGGATACAAAGCAGTCATACTCATAACAATGGGAAGAATCTGCTCTGGGATGATGATTTTCACTCCTATGATGATCTCCAAGCATGATTTGATGAAACCCAGCTCCAAAACCACTCTTAGGATGAGTTCTTCGCACTTTCTCTCTCTAGGGCTCTGTTTTTGCTCCAAAAAGTCGACCCCTCACTTTTGGCTCGAAATTGGGTTAAAACCCAGATTTTCCCGGCCACACGGGCAGGCCACACACGGCCGTGTGGCTTTCTCAGCTGCCCGTGTGAAGGCTTAGTGATTTCCACACGGCCACGTGGCCAGGTCACACGGCCGTGTGGGTTTTTAGGCTTGCCCGTGTGGCTTGCTCAACCTCTGTTTAATGCTTCGTTTCTCCCTCGTCCGGACTCCGAATTAGTCGCTGTTTGATCCCAGACGCTCGTAGTCTCGTCCTCTTTATTTTCATGACAAAATTCCATGATTATTTGTCTATATTATGAGGTAGAAGTCTATTATTCCTCAGTTCATGCTCGTGTTTCTTCTCATGAATTGCCAAATGATCTCCGATTGACTTGAAACTTGCGCCTATGCTTCAATTTACATGCTAGGACCTAAAATGTGACAAAGTAACACAACCTAGCGTAAAATAGTCCAAGAAAGCAAAAACTCAAGCCAAAATGATCAAGAAACGAGGGTGCAAACATGTGCAAATACGATGTTATCACGTACCACTGTACCAGGGTGGTATTTTTTGGTCCTGTATTTTGTTCACCCAGAAATTTGTAGATCCAATAGATCATGATGAAATCGTTTCTTCTGTGCAATTTTTTTTAAAATGACTTAATAACGAAGAAGATACCATATGGTATGCTGTTGGTACGAGAGGAATGAAAAAAATTTCTCAAAAAGTATTGAAAACGAATCTCATTTTGTAGACTACAACAAACTCTTAGACATCTAGTGAGTTGTACGCTTGAGAACTTAGATTTGCTTGGGGACAAGCAAAGTTAAAGTGTGGGGTTATTTAGTGACACGTTAAATATGTTATTTTAAACCCCGTTTTAATGATCAAAAGTACATTAATTTCCCATATTTATCTTCATAATACCTTGGATTTTCTATGTGAATGCTCAAAGTGTGTTTGAGGACTGCTTTATTAGTTATTACAATTATACATTTTGGTAGCGTTTTGTGCATTTTCGTGCCAAAACAGGCTAAAAGCCCACATAGGAGCATTGAGGGACGTCAAGGCTCAATGCTGGAGCAAACTTCAAATAAAAGACCAAGTGCCATAAATGGCGCCCAAATCTGCAACCCAAGATACAAAACGTGGTGGTCGCCATTTTGGTAAGATGCCAAACTTCGTCAGGAAGGCGCCCAGAATTTATCCTGAAGTAGTAGTTGCACGGAGGAAAGCTTTTGATTGGTTGGATGATGCATCAAGGCCGAGTTATTCTCCCCCAAAAATCCTAATCAAAGACCTATACATAGGTCTCTAGGGGTTAGAACTTGGTAGCAGTGATAAGAGGCAGATAGAGAGTCGTTACTCTATCGACAGAGTAACCCTCCTGAATTAGAGTGGCACTAGTTCAGAGGGAGGAAACAATGAAAAAATCGATGGCTTAAACCCCTATTTTTATATTGTTGCCACTCTAGTGGTTCTCTGGGGACTTTGTTTCAATCAAATAGGAATTCCTTGAAATATGCCCCCATGGCTGGACAGGTTCCCTTTGTTGTATAGGTTTATAAACCCTAGAGGTTCTAGAAATGTACACTTGATGTCTGGTATTCAATACGACTGATTTTATCTTCCTATAATTTGTGTTTAATTTCCTCTATGTTTTCTTTTGTTGATTCAAATGAATACTTAGTCGAGTTTGCATCCCTTTGTGGTGCAAGTATCAGAAGCCTTGTCTCATAGAACAAAACCAGACATGAAGGTTCTATCCGATCGATCATCATTTGATCAAACGGAGCAACGCCTCAAAAGAGAAATCCATAGACTCTTTGTCCCCTACTAGTTCGTGTAAAAGCTTTGGCACAATGTGAGATTAGATGATATAAGAAATCACCCTCGTGTGTTGTTGATATCGAACATAGTTTTAGGAACTCTAGGGGGAGCTTGTCTGTGCAACGCCTTTCTCTCTTGGGTCCTTCACTCCCCAAAGTAGTATAGGTTTCCTTTCCTTCCACTTTCTTTTGCATTTGCAAAACCGAAAGCACGTCAACCTCCAACATATGTTATCTTTCATCATAGAACTCGTTCCTAACCACTTGAGTAAGTGGTTGTTACAGACCCTAGGGAATATGATTAGGAATGATCTCATATCCGGACTCAGGAGCTGCAAGGAAGCATAAGCATTCAGACTACTTGTTAGGACACAGTTATTGCTCGAGATGTCATCATCACAAGGGCTACTAAATTACATAAGCTTCCAAGTTGAATTCTTCAATTATGAACTTTTATTAGTAGGTTTGAGACTAATGCTTATTTATAATTTTATTAAGGGAGTTCTACTACCGTGAATTTGAATTATTTTATAATATTTTAATGGTTCTTTCTTCTTTAAATTATAAATGATTACAGAGGGGCATTTGGGAAAATGACAGTTACCAAATTATTGTTTATTTCTTTCCTTTTCTTTCCATCAAAGTATGGTAAGGGAAATCAAGTTTTTGAAAATGTAATTGTAACTTCTTGAATTTTTAGATAATGGTGATGAATTTTATTAAATAGCCTTCTGAAAAAACACACAGCCATACCATGAAGCAATGGAAAGTCCTTAATACTTTCTAAAAGACCCAAAGACAAATATAGTCTTGCAAAATTCTCTGGCCTTCAATTCTAGTCCTATATAAACGAAAAGCACTGTGTTTGATACATAATTTCGCCTGTTGAAACTCTAGAGAGAACAACACAAAGCTCATCTATCGAGTGAGTATATCCAAGCGCCATGGAGAATGCTTATGTTAAGCTCTTGTTCTGCATCGTACTTTTAGTTTTAGCTGTTTCAGGTACGTGTATTTCTTTTTTTGCAATTTTGGTTTGCATATTTTATTTTCTCTTGGCTTGTTAAAGAACCATATTGAATCTTATAGGTGGGAAGAAGAATGACTTTGGGGTGGAAGGTACACTCCTAACCAGGCCATGCAAAGTTGCAAAGGATTGTGCCCTGTGGGGGCCTCGTTGCCCATGCGACTTCGCGCTCCATCTCTGCATTTGCCAGCCACCTCATCTGAAACACCGAGGGCTTAAAGAAGGGCATTAGAAATTAGACATCCAAATGAATAAAGAAATGAGAGCAAAGTATGAACAGAAAGCAAAATAATCAATGTCCAATTTCATTTGAATGAGAATCATTTGCAATATTAAATGGCTTTAGTTTTCCTTCGAACTGTGTATATGTCTATCGTGTCTCTCATTTATCCATGATGGTGAATTGGTGATACTAGGAATAGGGCCCACGACATAATCGAGGGCAAAGGTTAGAGTTTTGGAAATCTAATCCGGATACATCAACATGTTAGAAACCGAACAGAAAAATTAGGGTTATCGATCTAGTTGAGTCGCGGACTAGATCGCTCTCTTTAAAACGTTCGCGGCACTGCCTCGTTATTCGCACAACAGACTATCAGTCGGTCGCCTTCGGGATAAATCAACCATTCTTTTGATTTGCTCTACGGTTTTGCGTCTCCTATTTATAGGAGCAGAAAACTCCGAATATTCCCTCTTTCTTTGGGAACAAGTCACATTTTAATTAGGGAGATAATTAATCCCATAATTAAAATATAATGTATTAAGATAATTATTCCTAGAGGGAGAAAGGATGAGAAACAGTAGGTGGAGAATGAGAATTTTTTTTATTAAATGGTTTTTCTTTCAATTATTTTTTTTTTCATTAAATTTATTTTGTGTTTTCATTAAATTTATTTTTATATATTTTTATTAATCTACATGGTAATATTGTTGATGAAATGTCGCCAAATCAATATTTCATTAGTCCAGTCAGACTGTTAGATGACACCGTTAAAGTATTGGATGGAAGTGCCTATAAGTGATATTCTTCAAATTTATCTATTATTATCACGAACGCGAAAGTTTTGACTATACAAGTGTATTTTACTAAATATAGTCATCACTCATCACATGAAGATAATTCAATGGGAAGTTGACATGTTCAAATTATATGAAAAGTCAAACCAATATAAATATGCCTGTTGATGTGACTTGAATCGGACTATCAGCCGCTACGACTGGTAATCGAGGGTCTCGCTGCCCGGTCAGCGAGTGGGGTCCAGGGGCAACGCCCCCGGCCCACGGTGTATGGGCTCAATGTTATTTGGGTTCGGGTTCTGGGCCTGGTCTGTAACCGTTTCCTTTGCTAGATTGGATTAGGTTTATACCCACATGGAGAAGTACTATAAATACTTCTCATACTCCTCTGTAATCTGTAATCTCCTCGATATAGTGAAACTGGCTCTCTCTCGCCCGTGGACTAGCTAACACACATCGTGTTAGTGAACCACGTAAATTGTGTGTCTGTGTTCTTTCGATTCTCGCTTTCGTATTCTTGCTTTGTCGATTCCGACGATTTCCCGATCCGTAGCAGCGCGTTTATAACAAGTGGTATCAGAGCCGCGGCTGGAAATCAGGCTAGGGTTTTCGATTCAGAAGAATGACGTCGGTGAACATGAAGATCGAAAAGTTCACGGGGAAGAACAGCTTCGCTATATGGCAGATCAAGATGCAGGCTTTATTAAAATAGCAAGGGCTGTGGGGGCCGCTGTCTGCAAAACAGAAGAAGGCAGCGGTCGATGACGATGAGTGGAATACCCTGGAGGAGAAGGCCCACTCGACCATCATGCTATCGTTGTCTGATGACGTCATCATTGAAGTCGCTGCTGAGAAGACTGCCGCGGGCTTGTGGTTGAAACTAGAGAGTCTGTACATGACTAAGTCTCTAACCAACAAGCTGCATCTCAAGCAACGGTTGTTCAGCTTGAGGATGCAAGAAGGTACGCCTTTGAGGGAACATCTCGAACAGCTTAACTCTATTTTGCTGGATCTGCGTAATATAGATGTTCAAGTTGATGACGAGGATGCTGCCCTAATCCTGCTGGTTTCTTTGCCGAGTTCATATGAGAATTTCGTTGATTCTTTTATTGCCGGTAAAGAAAGCGTGTCGTTGGAGGATGTCAGGTCTGCTCTTCATACGAGAGAGATCAGACATAAGGCGTCCGGATCTGGTACAGGTGGTGAGGCATCGGGTTTGGCTGTTACAGGTGGAAAGGGAAAGAAGAAATCTGGTAAAGGGAATTCGAGCAAGAATTCCAAGGGTCCCGGTCCACAGCCAGGTGATGCTTGTCACAACTGTAAGGAAGTGGGGCATTGGAAGTACAACTGTCCCAAGAGAAGAGGGCAACAGAAGAAACAAGGTTCAGTTGCCGTGGCAGAAGTGGACAACAGTTCTGAAGACGATCTCGCCTTGGCTGTAGATGAGAAGGCACATCGTGGTGATGTGTGGTTTCTGGATACTGCAGCCTCATACCATATGTCTCCGAACAGGGATTGCTTAACAACCTACGAGCAGATAGATGGTGGTAACGTGGTCATGGCTAATGGAGCTGTCTGCAAGGTTGTTGGAATCGGGTCCATAAAGGTTCGGACACATGATGGTTCTTTCTGTACCGTGAATGATGTCAGACATGTTCCACGAATGACAAAGAACCTGATCTCCTTGAGTCTACTCGACAGCAAGGGTTTCAGCTTCAAAGGAAAAGGTGGAGTTGTGTATGTCTGCAAAGGTTCAAGGAAGGTGCTGAAGGGTGTGAAGCGTGGGACCTTGTATGCATTACAAGGGTCTGTGTTGTCTGGTTCTGCTGCAGTTGCATCGTCTTAGGTTCAACAGGAAGATATGACCACTCTCTGGCACATGAGACTGGGGCATATGAGTGAACGAGGGATGCAAGTTCTATCGAAGAGGGATCTTCTTTGCGGGCACAAGGTGCAGAATTTGGAATTCTGTGAGCATTGTGTGTAACACCCCAACTTTGGGTTTAGGTCCAACCTATAAAAAATGTATGGATTGGGTTGTTAGTTGCAATCGAATGTTGAATCAAACCGAGCTAGGTCCAAGGACCAAGACCAAGGAATTTGTTGGGCCGCAATTAAAAAAAAAAGAAGAAGAAATAAAAACAAGGTAATGGGCTAAGATGCAACGTTTGAAGGAACCAGGGCTTTTGCCCAAAATGGATAACGTACATAGGAATTGAAGGGCTTAAGCCTTTAAGCTAAAGGAGTTTCCTTCTCAATGGGTAACGTATGTACAGAAGAAATTGAAGGGGTATTGTTGGTGGCTGGAAGACGCTAACGGATTAAGGATTTAAGTGAATTTAGTGGGATACTATTATTTCTTGGGTTGGGGGTTCATATTTGGATGTAACGATCGGAAATAAAGGGGTGTGAGTTATCACCGCAGCAACATCAGTTTTGTTAGAACGGGAGGTTTGACGAGGAGTTAGCGATCCGAGAGCCAGCAATAGAGCATACGTGCCATGCTCCTGGGAAATTCAACAACGATGAGGTAAGTGGGATTAACTGTCCTTTGCGTGAATGGGTGGTTTTAGATTGCTGGATAAACAGAAGAATTAGCTTATAAGTGGGTGATTAAATTGATTAACCATATGCGCACGTTGTTGGGTTCTTGCAACCATTCGTAGGGAGGAATCAGGTGCTTTCAATTATGGAGCACAAAGGTTTTGTTCTCGATTGAATATGAAGCAAGCCACGGATATATATATATACGCATACTATGATTGTGTGGGGATTTTAGTTCTAGTTTAAGTAGGAATTTTGTAAAGGAAGGTCCCTGGAGTTCACAGAACTAATTAATCACAAGCCCGCTTGGTAATTAGGACAAATTAGTGGACGTTGATGCATGGATGGATGGGAAGGTAGTGTGAATTAGTGGGAAGAGGGTTGGGATTAATTTCCCATCAACTGACAAATTCTATTTACGCAGTTGCATGGTCTTATGGAGATAGAATAGCTTGTGCACTTTGAGCAAGGAGTTGTAACGACGGAGTATCCACATGGTTGGGGATTGTTCAAGAAGCTAGTTGACGTGAAAAGACGGTGAGTGTAAAGGGGGTAAAATCTCCGTCGAGATCTTTTAGTTTATGCCTTTTTAATTCAGTTATGTTATTTAATTTTCAAGTAAGCGCGATTATGTGTGTGAGGCATCCCACCGCCTGTAAGGGTGGAGGCACGCGTTGTGCTATGTATGAATGGTTGTGATGTTGTATGGTTGATGGTAATTGAACCCCCGGGCGGTTGGGCCACTACTGGACGCGGTAGATGGTCGGGTCACTACTGGACGGCGATACGTAACGCAGTAGTTGACCGGGCATGGACTGGACGGTGATACGTAACGCAGTACCATTGCCTTGAGGATAGGGACACCAGACGACGATACTTAACGCGGTGGTCCCTAGTATGTGTGTGTATAAGTTAAGATAGAAGTAGAGAACTTCTATAAGCTGTTAAGGACTAAAGTATTGAGGATGAAAGCGAGAACGACTTTTGTCTAAGCCAGGAACCCGAATAACGTGTTTTAGTAAGGATGATTATTTAAGAGCAGAAAGCGAGAACGACTTTCATGCTAGGAAGGCTTTTCCCTAATAATGTGTTTAGCAAGGAGATTTCTAAGGGCAAAGACCTTAGGAAGTAACGACGAGACTGACCCCTTCTCACTCACCAGGTTGAGGAAGGGTTAGCGGAAGTGGATCCCGTGAAGAAGTAAGGTGAGGCAAGCGGTCGTGCCAGTACTGATGCTGAGTTGTCCGGGAGCTGGGTGAAGAGTATAGTTAAAGTTTGATAGTTATTTTATGTTTATGGTTATGAGTATATGTACTGGAGATTCAAGTTTCAAGATTCTGGGTTGTTTTAAGTGTTTGAGATTGAGATTTTGCCCGAGTGTTGGGGCTTTTTGATTTAAAATTATTAAATAAGGTCAGTTTGTTATTTTAAAAGTGGTTTGGGTTGCTCCGGAGTAACCGATTTTTGGTTTGAGTTAAGGTTTGGTTTTTGAAAAGAGACGGGATGTTTCATTTTGGTATCAGAGCCGGCACTCCTCTATTTCTTGGCCTTCAAGGAATACTGGAGTGACGATCTGAGTTTTTCAAGGTTTTTGGTTTTTAATTGAAAGGAAAAAGGGTGTCAGGTTGAAGGTTTGGCCAAACGAGTCAGGGTTTCTTTTGAGGATTTTTAGAATCTCCAGTATACTCTAATCATGATAAGGAAATAACTCT